GGCAAAATCACGCCCCTGCTAGAGCACGAGGCAAATCATAGTCAGCTGCTGTGGATGACCTGAAGGAGCCCCACATCCCATACCTAGGATTAAAACAAAAGCAGTTTCTATATTTCTGTGTTTTTCAAAGAAACTAAAACTCCAAGATTATCACTACAGATCTGAGTTCTCCAATACTCTACAGGAGAAATTTAAAACGCCGCACGGTAACATACACCCATGATCCCAGCACGGAGGAAGTGGAAGGTTATTAGCTTGAGGCTAGCCTTGACTACTTGCTGAGTCTCAGTCTCAAAGACCTGTGATACAGAAGTCAGCGTCTTTAGGATATTTATGATCTGTAAGATAGTTATGTAGGGCTGGAGGAATCCATATTTGCTATGCAAACATGTTCATGGGAATGGATACATGTGTCCTCACACATGAGAACAACCTCAGATGTCACAGATCAGCGACAGGGCTGCCTCACCCGGCTTAGGTCAGGCACCGAATACTAGATGCAGTCTACGGCATGGGTGGTGCGGCTGTCCCTGCCTTCCAAGTCCTTGTGGATCCAAAGGTTTGGCCTGGAGGAAAAGCCTCTCAAGGACCCTTAGGACTCAATCAATGTTCCCGACCTTAAGCCTCCCTCTCCACAGGTCCCTGGGTGCCAGGGTCAGCTAGGACAAGGGCTGTGATCAGAAGCAGCAGGGAAGGGTGTAAACCTAAGAAACATGGCTTTCGGATGATCTGTGCGTGGAAGCCCATGAAGACACACAGCTGTGTCTTCTGCCACACCACCTTTTGGTGTTGAAGGGTGAAGTTAGAAAACTGTGGCCTTTCACCTCTCCTTGCCTATGGACACTTGCTACTTTGTGCTTTTGCTGCTTGCTAAGGCCCGTCTCCTGGACAACAGCCTGATGCTCTCTCTGAGGTGATGGCAACCCAGACATGACGGACTGGGGGACCAGGGCCCGATTCCATGTGTCCATGTGTGTCTGTATACGTGTACATGGGCACAAACCAACCAGAGTCACCTCAGGGGCTCTGAGTTGCCTTAAGGGCCATCCACTGCCCAAGTACCAAGCACTGGTGTTAAAGTATGGAGGAGAAGTCCCCTGACGGAGCAACTCCAGAGGCTGGAGTTCACCATAGGGAACCCAGGGGCCTCAGAGATATCATAGTACATTGTAGGACTGACAGACAGACCTACATTGAGGTTCAGTTCCCCAAAAGTCCCCCTTTGCCCTACCAACATGGGCTGTCAACTGTAGCCCAGCATTAAGAACCACACATACCCTTTTGCACCCATCAAACATTTAAAGAAAATCTACAGATATTCAAATATTTTCAAAATCAACAAACACATCCAAATTTAATTCAACTTACCCTTGTCTCCCAGGAGAATGGGGCCGAGTGTTCATCTTGCCAAGTTATGTCCTGAAATAAAAATTCAAGTATAAGTCTAAGGCCCAAACCCCAACAACCCCATATAGACATCCATCCAAGGCTAGGAGGGACCCACACACAGGACAAAGTCTTAGCACTTGACAAGGCCAACCCTGGAAACTGCAGTCTGGCTGCTGGTGCCTCTTGCCAAAATGGCATCTTAGTGAATACCAGGGAGACCTCAGCTGACTTAACCCAGGTCAGGAGCTTCAGGAAATGGAATGGACATTATTCTCGGCAAAGACAGGGTCGACTCTCAGTCTGACCAGGGTCAACCGTGTGAGCTGGAGTGAGGGCACAGCCTTCTGAACCTGTTTCCTTGCTTCTGTGAGGAGCTTACACACCCTTTGAAATCCAGCAACCTGTGCAAAGAACACTTCTCCCAGCCATGTGAAAGGCCCGGTAACAGAATCAATGCACAGAGCATTGAGGTAATGCAAGCGTCTAAACATAACACTGCTGACGTCGTCCCTGACTCAGCTCACGTAGCACAGCAGAACTCTTCCAAGCAGTCTCTGGACTCTGACCCTGAGCGTGCAGGTCCTGTCTGACAGACTGACAAAAGGACTTGAGCCTTCTCTCCACCGCCAACAGAGTACCTGTCTGTGCCTGGCTGATATTGGTGGAGGCCACCATTTCTGGCCTAAAACATGGAGCATACTGGGTAATATGGAAAGTAGAACAAAATATTTTATTTTCTTATTGATACTTTTTGCCTTTTTTTTTTTTTGACAGAGTTGCATGTATCACAGTCTGTCCAGGGATGAGTTTGAACTCCTGAGCTTCCTGTTTCTACTTTGCAAGAACTTTGAGATTACAGGCATACATGACCATGCCTGGTTTATGTACTGTTGAGGAACTGAACTCAGGCCCTTATGCAAGCTAGGCAAACAGTTTACCAACAGGGTTTGTCTAAAACCCCCAGTAGAATATGAAAACAGAGAGTGACATTAATACTGTGTTCATATCCCACTGTCCCCAAACAACTCCAGGGGATTTGTATCATTCCCTGGAATACTCAATAAATTATATCCCTTGTCACCTTCCAGCCAGGTGACCTGGCTCCAACCTCCACAGAGAGAGCTAATGTGCTCATAACTCCTTCTTCAGATGCTGACAGGGCTCTGCCCAGACCGGCCTCACAGATGGCAGGAACTCCTGAAGAACGTTTGCAAATGCATCAGGATCTAGGCTGCAAGCCAGCTTGCCCTAAGCACACGCCTGCTGAGCTAAGGAGCAGCTGAGGTCCAGTGAAGAACTGTAGCAACAGGCACAGTGGCTCTGGGCAGTTGACAGCCTGTTCCTAAGAATGGGGGAATGAGGAGACCAAGCTTCACAAGACACAGTAACACGGTAAGCCTTTTCCCTGGCCCATCTCCAGAGCCCAAGTCCCATAGCTATGGGGACTTCTACACAAGCTAGGCCTTCACATACACAATTCACACAGCTCCCCCATTCTTACTCCCAGAGCAACCCAATGTGGGAAGTGGAGCCCTGGGTGTTCTGGGAAGGAGGTACCAAGAATAAAGCTGCCATAGTGAAAGTCCCTTACACTGGGAGATGAATAGTTGGTAGCTGTGTAATAAGGGCTATCCTATCTGGGTTCCTGGGGCTAGGGGCTGGGCACAGCAGGAGGGCCTGCAAGCTCATATTCAGCCCCTTTCCTCCAGTGGGCGTGCAGAGCGTCCGAGGACTGCACGCTAACATCAGAGGAAGCCTGTTCACTTGGATACATGTTATACCAAGACCACATCACAGACAGCATATCCTCAGACCTGTGTATGCTGCAGCAGCAAATGGGGCCAGGCATTAAGAGAGCCAAAATGCCCCTCAGCAAGGCAGCTAATACCGTTCGCCATCAATAGTCAATGGTCCTCCACAGTGGTAATTTGTATTTGGCAACATCCATTAGGGATCTTGGCTCCAGAACTGACGTCTGCTGCTTTTTGAAAAAATATCTATTTATGTGTATGTGTGTCTATGTATACACACACACACCTGAGTGCAGGTGCCTGTGAAGGTCAGAAGAGCTGTCACATTGCCCTGGAGCTGGAGTTACAGACATCGTGAGCCACCCGCACATGGGTTCTGGGAACCAAACTCAGGTCCTCCGCAAGAGTAGTAAGTGCTCTTAACCACTGAGCCGTCTGTCCCTCCAGCCCGCTCGGGCTATTTTGCACTACACAGTCGTCAGGAAAAACTTCTAAAAATGAGAACAGGGTCACTGCATTCCACTTTGGAATTTTCGGCTAAATCCCAGTTATTTCCGATGTCTAAATTCTGCCCCTCCAAAAATGGCCATGGCTATCTGGAGGAATGTGAGTCAATGCCCAGGAGCCACAGCTGTGGCCGAAGCCTGTCCTCATCTCTGCAGGCCGCTGGGGATGGAGACAGTGAGAGAAGTGACCCAGAAATCTCAGAGATTCTAGGCTCCTGGGACAGGATGCACCACTCTCAGAGGTAGCGAGACTGAAAGTGCTACTTCAGTGGGAAGAAAGCGGGTCAGTGGGACAGATGCTGTTTACTCCCTGCGTGACGTGGGAGAGGTGAAGGGGATTGTCTGGCTAATACATGTCTCCACTGAGGCCACCAGCCCAAGCCACACTGGTGGACAGAGCAAGTATATAGTGATCGATCACAAGGGTGGAAGCTGGCCCCCCTTCACGTGTCACCTCCTCCAACTTCTAGTGAATCTACAAAGATAAGTCAGAGGCGCTGGCTGTGGGAGGCAACTGCCAGCAGGACTCCAGGAAGCAGAAGTCAGGGCGCAGTGCTTGGTGGGGTCAGAACCCCAGTGGTCGCTTCCTGGAATTCCATGGGGGTCACAGGCAGCAAGAGGTCACCTATAGGCCTACATTCTTTTGTTTGCTTCAGCAAGAGGCATAAGAGGCAGATTCCTTGGATTTCTGTGCTTCAGGGCTCATAAAAAAATAATAAAGCACTTGGCAAAAATAAATCTGCCAAACAAAAATGTGGCAGGGGCGCTGTAGTCAGTCGGCAGTGACAAGGCCTCGGCCACAGAATGTGCTGGCATCGGGGCAGGCTCCTGGGCCGCCAGCACCAGGGCAGGCTCCTGGGCCTTCACCACAAATGGCAGCAGAATCTCCAAGTAGCAGTTCCTGCTCCCACACACAGAAACAAACACACACTCACACAAAGACACACTCCCATACAGACATATTCTCACACATAGATACACTCCTACACACATACACACTCCCACACACGGATACACTATCGCACAGACATACATACACACAGTCCCACACATAGATACACTTTCACACACAAATGTACAAACATAGACACTCTCATACATACGCTGAGACACAGACATACACATACATACTTCCACACATAGATACACTCTCACAGAGAGACATACACTCATATAGACACATTCCTCCACACAGACACTCTCACACTCAGACATACACACATAGACACGCTCAGATAAAGACTCTTGCACGCAGATACATCTGCATATAAACACACAGACATACTCATGCTCACAGATACATGCATACACAGACACACTTATCCAGACACATATATGGACACACACAGACACACTCAGACACACATTCATACATATATGGATACCCTGTACACATATACAGTGCTGCTTCTACTTCCACAGTAACTAGGAGGCAACCAAAATATGGCTAGGTGGAGACCTGTGGTGAGGTCATGCACTCTCACTCTGGGGCTGCTGGCAAGCCCTCGGCCTGCCTCCCAGGCTCCCAGACCTGAAACAGAAAAAAAATACACACACACACTCACACATGCATGGTCACACAAGTGCATGTCCCTCAGACCTCAGGACAACGCAGGTGGCCTTCACTCTGGCCATCCATTACCCTCATAGTCAGAATCCTGCTTGGAAGGGACAAAGACGTAGGAAGTCTAGCTTGCCTTCTGTGGGACACGACGGCAAAAGACTATGCTTACCACGAATCACCGAGTCAGAACAGCCAAAGCAGAGCGGAAGCCACAAGAGACAGAACTATGAGGACACAGAAGCACCTAAAATGACAGAAAGCCCTGGAAGGCAGCCATCAGGAGCGGGTCTACATAGGACACCCTGCTGGTCCTCAAAGCAGAGACAAGAGTTCCAGACAGAAGCACTAAAACTACCTTTATCACCACCGCCTCAGATAAATCTGCTCTGCCTGCAAACTCTTGACATGTATACCCCTGAAGGAAAGCAGTGTTACTGTGTATGTAATACAGATACGCATTTCTAAGTGTAATAAGCCAGACACAAGAATAAACACAGTTTTATGGTCCCATCTACATGCAATACAAGGATATGAAAAATCACAGTGATGGAGAGAAAGCAGACGATGGAGTGGGGGAGGGGGATGGGCAGTTGTTGTTAACCTGCATTGTTTTATTGCTTAATGGATATAAAGTTTCACTTCAAAGTAACACAGTTAGCTGGCCAGGACAGCGAGTGGCTGGGGCTGATGATCTGAATTCAACCTTCCGGAATAGGTAAAGGTGGAAGGAAGACACAAAGCTCCACAAAGCTTCCCATGACCTCCACATGTGACATACATGCCCACATACATATATCATGCATATCCACAATAAAAATTATAAATTAAACAAACAAAACATGGCTGAGGCTTAGCACTCAGGAAGCAGAAGCAGGGGATGGCTCACATTTGTGACTTCAGCACTTAGGGAGCAGAGGCCAGAGGACCAGAAGTGCAAGGCTATCCTCAGCTACAGTGAGCTGGAGGATAGCCTGGGAATCATGAGATACCATCTTTTATTATTTCGTTAGGGTTTTGTTTTGTTTTGTTTTTTTTGAGACAGGGTCTCTCGATATAGTCCTGCCTATCCTGGAATTTGCTCATAGACCAAGCTGGCCTTAAACTCACAGAGATCTACCTGCCTCTGCCTCTGCCTCCTGAGTGCTAGGATTAAAGGTGTATAACCACTACCAGGCCAGAGATCCTGTCTTAAAAAAAGAAAAAGAACTG